TATATATATATATATATATATATATATATATATATATATATATATATGTCCATCATAATCGGATGATACGAAATTATCCGATGTAAATTGTATTAACAAAGTTAGTATATATATATATATAATCTTAATATATTCCTATCAAATGTTTAATTGCTTTTTACTACTATAATCGGATCCTCATTTTATCACTATAATTTCAGTTCTGGAATAAATTCATAATACAGTACACATCCGAATAAATGATGTTGAAATTTATCAATTTTTAAATGTTCAGCATTCCGATTTATCGCTTTACTTTATTTTACTTTTATTAACAATAATAATAATGTTTGACTTAAGAGTCAAATTAATCTACCGGAAAGAAAGCAAAGAAGAAAAAATAACTTTTCAAATTTTGAAAAAAATAAAGCCAAATACGATAAAATATCAAATAAATGTTTAATATCTTAAATTATAATTGTAATTTTCATCATCAAATAGTTTTGATTAATTAATTAATTGTTTAATTATCAATAAAATGTGAATTTTTCATTTTCATTATTTACGCTTCAAATATAAATAAGCAGCAAGCAACAAGCTAATTTGAACTGATTTAAATTAATAGGTTAATGAAAGCTCATTAAGCCTTTCATTTCATATGCAGAAAGTAAAATACGAGATAAGATTCTATTCATTTCATTTCATACAATTGGAAATAATTAATCATGATGACAGCTGTAGATAGGTAAAGAGTTAGAAATTTGACCACAGATAACAATAATTCAGGCGAACAGACAAAAAAAAAAAAAAAGAAAACCATATGGCCAAATAGATATGGACAAATGACCAATAAGATGAAATGAGAGAGAAGGCAATGAGAGAGATATATCCTGCTGAGGCATGCTTTATAGGATAAATAAATTAGATGAATGAAGAAAAAGGGGGTAGTGCAGGTGCACCTTCATTTTATACACAGCATGCCATCATCATCGGATGGATGGATATTCCGGAATATATACAGATAGGAAGGACAACAAAGGAGCAATATGGAGCAGCAGATTGAAAATGCCTGATGGATATGATCGGGTAGAAGTATCCGCGTGCTATTTTTTCCCTTCCTTTTCATCATTCTATATTTTTACCTCGTAACCCAAATGCTTCGATCTTGTACTGTTTGCTTGTAGTGAATATGACCTAGGATAGCATTTTTGTCATTTTGGTTGATGACAAATGACATTTAATGAACGAATGAATGCTTACAAATATAAGAGAGAATGAAGAAATGGGTTAAACAGTTATCCTTGTCTTAACCTAATCAGCAATTATTCAGTCGAAAATTATGCAAATTTATAAAAATACTGCTACACAGCTGCTCCATCTTATCCTCTTCCCATCATGTCCATATAAAAAGAAAGAAAAGAAGAACTGAATATGTGTCATTAAGCTAATTGGTTATGACAAGAATGGCTTTTGTTGAATATTTGAATTAATCGCCAAAATATTTTATACTTTATACTAAACGATCAATTCAAAATTGGATCAATGATGAACATGGACGAGAACAAGTTGATTTCACAAGATCACGTTTAGGAATGATCACAAAATTATAGAGATTCTTCGACAAAAAAAAAGTGATTTTTGAACTGTTGAATTTAAAAATCAACTTGGATGAAACCTTGGGTCAAATTCAGCACTTGAAATAATTTGAATGCAATCAACAACGATTGGTTGGTAAATTTCTAAGTGATAATATTTAATTATAAAATATTACTCTCTACTGATAGAGTTCTTTTAAAATTATCATTACAATATGTTTCAAATTTTTATTCAAAATTTATCCAAACTACATTTTTTTACTTATCATTATTCTTTATTTTTTAAAAATATGCATAGTGTTTAAATAGCTCAAGTTCAAAGGTTACGGAGGAAAAAATAGAAAAAAATGAAATCACATTTTAACCTCAACTTTTCTCTTCCAATCTTTCCCATCTTTCTCAATCAATCATCATCAACAAAATCCAGAAATCATCAATGATGATTTGAACTCTCATATGGTCCATTTATATTTAATGCAACTAAACACAACAGCTGAATAGGATAGTAGTAACATTGGCTTATAAATGATTCACAAGTAATTTGAGGAAAATTGATGACTGACCATACATGTATGGATAAAAAATGACCAATTGGATATGACCCATAACATGATGATAATGACGATAATAATAATCATTAGATAGATATCCATGATTATGATATATTACTCAAAAAGTAACATTGTCATTAATACTATCAAAAATTCAGAGCGTAATTCTGAATAAAAATAATTACTCCATCTATTTAACTAATTATTTTATTATCATCTGATAATGCAAACAAATATAATCATAACTCCGTTTCATTTCTTTCTTTATCATTCTACAAATATTACTACTACTATTACTATTACTAAATGATTATAAATTATTGGTTATTTTTCAAACATTCACTTCAATATGAATCAAATAATCCTAATGATAAGCGTCAATCATAATAATATGTCTGATATAATTCAAATTAATGATAAAATTCATTTCTGTTTATAATTAATTATCACAATTACTAATGCTATAAACTTTCCTTTCACCTACAAATTTTACTTTTTCTACGGATGTAAAATTTTCCAAAATGCTATAAAAAGCATAAAAATTAAATTATTGCTAAGAATTTGTTCACAAAATGGAATTTAATCATTTTAATATAAGTCAAACATTGAATTATATTATATATATATATATATATATATATATATATATT